TTTGAGCAACAAGCAATTAAGCACTTAAGTTGAAGTCCTTGTCGATGAAAATAAAGTTAGAATCTTCTTTAATGTAGTAATGCGTACTAAACATACTCGAATTGTCTTAACAGCAGGCTTATTGATCTTCATGAGATGGGCTCTGATAATCTTCAACTTCTGTAACTCTTTGTCGGGGTGGAAACTCTGATTAGCTTCATTGAAGTTCACTGATTCCAGTGAATTTACGGGACAAACACAGAAGAGAAACAACAACAGAAACAAAACAAAAACTGAAATGATTGGACAAATCTTGCAATCGCTAGAACCCATTTTTAAGGAATATATATGTCTTGTCTCTTCTAACAGAACTGTTTTTATTTGCATTCATTTGTCTTGTCTTCTTCTGTCATCAAGACCATACCAACCAAGAGGGAAATAAGAAATGACTCGATTCGACTTATTTCATCACATTCGGAGTGTGATAGAGCTCCGAAAGACGAACCCGATATGGAAAACTTCCCACCTCACTCTCTCACCATTTCCAAGGCTTCAAAACTGCAAGAAGAAAATCAAAATCCAACTTGTACCTTCCTTCTCCCTAGGCTTCTATTCTATGTCCTAGTTTTGTCTTCTTAGTTCTGACAACGTTCTAGGCATTAAAAACCCTGGAAACAATTTGTGGGAATTTTTAGAGTTTTGCCCATGTGGGTTGGAGTTATAAATATAGGGTTGTCACCAAAGACATGTAATAATGAGTTTTATATTCTTCAAAGAAGAGAAATTGAATGAAAAGGGAATGAAATGAAGGGAAGGTGGGGTGGGGTGGGGTGGAGCGGGGGTAATGTGTACAGTAGACTGAAACTTTAACTTTTGTTTCAAATTTTATAGGGGACTGATTTCTGTTATTCTTTACTTAGGGTTCAAAGACAGAGAGATTTCAATTGGATTCTGGTTTTTCAAAGTTGTTTGCTTTGGGTGTTTTCTCTTTCTCACTTCCCTAGATTCTTTATGTCAGTTGCCCTCTTATTTTATTACTTCACCCCTCTATTTTACATATATTACATATTATAAAAAAAAAAGGTTGAACCCCAACCTTGAGGGCCCCCACCGACCCTGCCCTGGACCATTGTGGAGGAGGTAAATCGCAGGATGTGCCTCCCAGGAGCCAGGGTGGAGAGCTTATGGATAGGCCTGGGCTATT